ACCCTCTCGGATCCGAGCGACTTTGTCATACAGATATTGTGCAAATTCCTCAGCCTTCCCCGCCAGGGGGTCCCCGCCCCCCCTCAATTGAAGGAGGGAGCGGGTCACCCTGAAGAGGGAGGCCGGGCGATTATCTGATGACGCAATGAGGGTGGAGTAGTAATTAGACCTCGCCACCCTCATCGCCACAAGGTAGGATTTAACGTGTATCCTTACCTGTGTTCGGTCGGATTCGGTTCGGGTGGCCCTCCAACTGCTCTCTAGGCGTCTTTTCCGGCGTTTCATCTCTCTCAGCCCCTCGGTAAACCAAGGGGCCAGTTGAGACCTACGCCGGGTCAGAGGCCGCAACGGCACGACTCGGTCCAGTGCTGCGGCTGCGGCCACATCCCAGGCCGCAGCCTGATGTTCCGCCGAGTCGTGACCCTATCAGTGTCTCTACATACATGTAATATTAGTATTTTTTTTAAAAAAAATGTTTATTTTGCATATATTTCAGATGATGAGAAGCTTTCAGAAGCTGAAGAATCATCAGATGCTCCAATGGAAGCAGAAGATAAACAATAGATGTGTATAGCTCAGAAATCTGGTAATTCATTTTCCTGAAGATGATTAATAACTAGGCTTTTGAATTTATTTTGTATGTTACATATAGTCCAAAGTAACTATATTATGTTTTTTACCTGAATGAACTTCCACACTTATGTACAATAAATACTTGAAATTACACAATAAAGTAATTTAGTCTTGGGTTTATGTTCTGGAATTAAGCTACCAATTATATGGGTTATATGGTGGGATGTTACATTAAAACAAACATCAGAGATAATTTAAAATTCTAGTAATAGGCAAGTGAATATTCTGAACCCAGAACTCGATACACTGAAAATGTGACTTGTATAATATTAATATTATATTATATTAATATTAATCTTACATTAATATTTGTTATCTCAGATTATTAACAACACATACATGGAAACATATTTATTTAAAATGTATTATTTTGTAGTCCTTAAGAGATCATCCAAAACAGTTTAGATTATTCTGATTCCCAAAGATTTACATTATTGCAATTCTGCATTTCTCAGAGCCATTGGTTACGCTGATTTTTTTCAGTGCTACTATCCAAGAGGTTAATTAGTGATCGAGTCACTTAAGAGATCTGTGTTGCTTTGTTTTTCCAAGAAAACAATGAAGCATAGAAGCAATTTATAGTGTCAGCTTCATGTAATAGAGGCTTATCTCAGTCTTCCTTAGTCAAATCTTTGTATTGTTCAGGCACTTATTTTATCTTTTTTTGTTTTGAGAGGTACTTTCCCCATAATAGAACATAAGGTGGGAGGTTATAAAACCTCCTGGCCAGTCAATATTTTGTGTAGGAGTTCCAGATTTGGTGCTGCAAGCACCTCCTCCTCAGAGTAGTTGTCTGCCCATTCTTTTGCAATTCACAGGAGGGGAAAGGAGAGAATTACAAAGCAAAACATAATTCCTTGCTTTTGTCTCTAGTGTGATCTGTATTAAGGAACAGAGGCTTGAACCACGACCACTGCCATCCCCAGGACCATTGATACCACCAAAATAAATCCTCCTGTGGATTGAAGGATTTTCAGTTGCAAGTCTGAGAATCAATTGGCTGGGCTAAGTAGAATGACCAAACTGCAGCATTCTAAATGCCGGCGTGTGCCATCCCAACTATAGGTCAAGAATTAAGATTTCCATGTATTGTCAGTTCAAATTACTGTATATTATAAATGGACGGGCATTTGTGATGATATTTTTGTTTCATTCATTTCTTTATCTACTTTTAGGACTTGTGTGCAGAACAGATCACGCTTTAGGTCATACTAATGCAAAAAAAAATAATAATTGAAAATTCAAAAGAGTTCACAAACTTTTGAACACCATTGTGTATCTATTAGGATATTTCCCAAGTGAGGGAGTCAGAGAGAATGTCATATCTTGCATAACCCAAAGGCATCCTAGATTTTTCCAGAATGACTTTAATGTATTCGGTGAGTCCCAACTCTGCCAATTTGTGGACCTCATGAAAAGCAGAGCTGTTTTGTTGATTTTATATTGTTCTTCATTCCAAAGGAAAGGTGCTGTTTCATTTGCCAAACTAATTGGTGTTATGAAATGGTGAAAAGAGCTATTCACTGAGTTTGTCTTGCAGAGTAAAATGCCTTGCCCTGCCCTACCAGCTCATGAGCATGTTACACTGAAGCAAATTCTACCAAATTGTGTTGGACTCACTTCAAAGGAATGTAGTTAGCACCTGGATAACAAGCAGTGCAGGATTAGTTGATAAGTGGATGAAAGAGTTGCATGGAATTACAATAGAAAGACAAAGGTCGATGTTGCATGATGTAATTAAATAATACATTGTCTTGATTTCCTGCATTTTAAGCATCACTACATTTATATCTGATGGCATGCTTTTTCTTTTTGGGCAAGGAGAAGCCTTTTTTTTTCATCTGCAAATTTAAGGAACAAAATCTCAAACCAGCAGCTATCATAATAGATTGGATTAACTTAACGTGCCCAACCAATTTCCCTTCCTCCCCAAAATACAATAGTATTTTAGGGAAAGGTGTGAACATACTCTCTGTTCAGGCTCTGAAGTTTCCCTGTCTAATATTTGGGGAAACCTTTTCATGTAGTTTCATATATTCAGTCTATTGTGTGGATTGAACTCTATACTGTAACCTTTTTCTGCTAAGGGCTGCATTTTTTTTTC